GTAAAATACTTAAAACACTGTGACAAAAAAATAAATCAGTCTAGATCAGGATTAGTCCTGATCCTGGCCAGGCTGGGGGCAGCAGTGGCAGGCCTGACCCAGCGGCACGGGGTCGCGGGCCCGACCCTAGCACGCGGGGACCAGCCGAGGCCACGTCGGACCCAGCCTGGGAGTGCAGGATGGGTGCAGGACGTGCCGGGCCCAATCCGGCCCACGGACCAGCCCACACCTTTTCTCCGCCCGGCGGGGCCAAAAGGTTGAGCAGCACTCGGGCGGCAGGAGAAAGGAGACCGAGACCCCACGTGCTGTTTGGTCCCCAATGCATCAGCCGTGGCTTCGGTGCCCGCTTGCGTGGCCACGTGAGCAGTGGCAGCTCTTTATAACGGAGGGAGGAGCAGCGTCTCACCCTTCCCGCGCGGGCGCCCGAGCAGGAAGAGCAGGGTTGCACCCAGCCACGTGGGCGTAAAGCCTGACCCAGGGCCGGGGGGGCTCCGTGGCATCCTGCCTTCACGCGAGCGGGAGCGAGAGGATCGTGTCCCCCGGGCACCCGCGGGGCTGAAGCGACCCTGCGCGGTCGGGGCGCGGGCTCGTTACCTCAGATTTCAGGCGCTCGATTTCGATTTCCCCGTCTTCAATCTGTTGTCTAAGTTGCTTGGCAACGGTTTTCTCCGTTTCCACAATCTGAAGCAAATGGAGGTACTTCTGCATTAAAGCTTCATGCTCTGTAGCAAGATTCCTATAACTGTCATATAGACACAGCCATTAAAACCCGGCCTCCCCTCCCGGCCTCCTCCCCCCGCTCCAGCTGCGGTCCCTGCTGCTCCCGCGCCTCCGACCTCGCACCTCCTCGTGCAAACCCCGGCCAGCTCCCGGGCACGGGCCGCCACGACGCCCCAGGCCGCAACCACCCTGCCTGCAAAGCCTCGCTGGAGCAGCACTGCAGCTCATGCACGCTCCCGGTGAGAACGCAGCGCCCGGGCGGGACTCGGCCAGACACGGGACGAGGGCCACCCTGCCAGGGCTGCCTGCCTCCTCTCGGCCCTGGTCCCAGGCAGCGCCCGCAAACGCCGGTTTTGGACTAGACGCCGAGGCAGAACCGACCCGTCAAGGGCAGGATTCAGAGTCTGAATTGGGACTGGGGGGGAATATTTCTGGAAAAGACCAGAAAAGGGATGCTAGGAGGGTTCTTACAAAGTCAGGGCAAGTTTGACTGGGACGCCCCCGGTGCCAGCCGCGATCCAGGCGTGCAGGCGCCAACGCCTGCCCGGGTGAAGGGGCTCCATCTATCTAGCTCCCTGCAAACACCGCTCCTCCCCGCTGCGGATGCACATCTCGGGGCTGCCCCCGGCCGTGCAGTAAATGAGCTGCCCGTCTCTTTGCAAGGCAGGAAGACGTGGGTTTGGCTATCCTCTCTCTGAGCCTCGCCGCCCCTTCTCCCGACTCGCTCATGGGTTTTCTTTAACCCAGAACAAAACGGTGGTGGCTGTTCGTCTGCAACGGTCATGACCGAGCCCCTCCGGCAGGTCGGAGCCAGCTGGCAATTCCCACAGACCCGATGCAACCAGCCGTTCCCCGTGGACAAGCTCGCGGGGAGCGCAGCCAACAGGACCGTGGCCTTGGCAGCCCGGTTGGCATTGAATGCTTCCTACTTCTTGGGGTGGTGGGTACTGTGCCCCACCAGCCCCCACGGACCTCAGGGGGAGCTGACAGTGCTCAGCCTACTGCCGGATCGCGCACCGTCTGGCACCGC